TAAATAAATAAATAAATAAATAAAATAAATAAATAAATAAATAAATAAATACGTACAATTCCCTTAATACATTAGGTGCCTCATGGTTCCCCCCAATAAGAATAGTTAATATTGGGGCTTTTTTTTCTTGTTTATAATAATAAATAAAATCTTTTATTTTTTTATATTTAGGGGGAGCACAAAAATATAATAAATCCTCCTCTGTACGTATACTCTGCAGCAAAAAAATATATTTATTTATTTATTTATTTATTTATTTATTTTATTTATTTATTTATTTATTTTATTTATTTATTTTATTTATTTATTTATATTTAGGGGAAACACAAAAATATAATAAATCCTCCTCTCTACAGAAAAAAAAAGAAAAGAAAAAAATAAATAAATAAATAAATATAATTAATTAATTAATTAATTAATTAATTAGGGGGTTAGTTTATTTATTATATGTGTGTAGGTAAGGTACTATATATGTGTATGTTTATTTACTTTTATTTATTTATTTATTTATTTATTTATTTATTTATTTATTATATAAATATAGAGTTATTATACTTATATTTATTTATTTATTTATTTAATTATTAATATTATATATAGATAGATAGATAGATAGAAAAATAAATAAATAATAAACAAAATAAATAAATAAATAAATAAATAAATAAATAAATAAATAAATTACCTCGAAGTCTCCACAACAAATAAGAAGATCAATATTTATATTTTTTTCTTTTTTTATTTTGTTTATTGTTTTATAAAGAATGTCTAATTCTCCATGGCAGCAACCGTTTATTGCTATCTATAAATAAATAAATAAATAAATAAATTAATAAATTAATTAATTAATTAATTAAATGAATTATTTAGTTAATTAATTAAAAAGGAAGAAATAAAAAAAAGAAATAAAAAAAGTAAGAGAAGGCAAAAAAAACAAAGTAAATACAACAGGGTAAATATACGGCAAAGGAGAAAAACAAATAAAATAAATAGAGGAAAGAAAACAAATAAAATAAAATAAAATAAATAAAATAAATAAAATAAAATAAAATAAATAAAATAAATAAATACAAATTAAATGGAGTAATAAAAGATAAAGGTTAACTTATTCATATAAAAGTATTGGATAAAAGGAAATGCATGCAAAAGAGAAGAAAATAGAGGGAAAGAAAAGGCAAATAAAACAGGAAAAAAAGTATAAATATATTCATAAAATTAAATAATTAATTAAATAAATTAAATAAATATATTTACCTTCATTTTCTTGGAGTATTAAACAAACAAATACCTTAAAAATTCCTCAATGATCATTCTTTGTCGCCTCTTTTCTTTGATGTTTTCTTCTGCCTTGAAGAAAAGAAGGCAAATAACCACTTAAATGAATTATTCTTTTAACTTATACATAAAAAGGAAATGAATAAATCACAAATAAAGAAAAAAGATGGAAAAATGAAGGAAAAAAAGGCATGAATTCAATCTATTCAATATTAGGAATCTGTTCAGGTGTATATACACCCCAACTCCTAACGCATAACACCACAAAAAAATGAATAAATCATATTCAATTTAATTAAATTAATAATTAAAAACGAAGTTGTAATTCAATCTTTCCTTAAAAATGCAATTTTCCTCTTTTTTCTGCAAGGGAGGCTATGGAGGGCCCCAAGGGGGGCCCCCATTGACTTCCTACGAGGGGCCCCCCTCTTAAGTACAGTGTACGATAGTAGCAGCAGCAGAAAAGAGGGGAAAAAAAGACTTTTTATTGAAAATTAATTAGTTATTCCTTTTACAGCAATAATTAAATATATTTTAAGGAATAATTAAGGAATAAATAAAGAAAATATACAAAAAATAAGGTATTTGTATATACACCATATAGAGGTTAGATAAGGAGGGTAGGACTTATGATAAAAAAAAAGGAAATAAAATTCTTTTTTTTTTTTATTAATTATATAAAAATACATTAATAATGTATTTTTATATAATTATTTATATATTTATTATTTATTTGATCAGTAATTTACTCATTTTTATTGGTAAATTCTTCTCTTTTTTTCTTTTTTCTTCTTTTTCTCCTTTTTCCTGTTCTTAATAATTCATTAGTAACAAAGCTAGCTAGAGGCTAGCTACCTAGCTAGCTAGCTAGCTAGCTATATAACTAGCTAGCTAGCTATATAGTGACAAATAGCTGCTGCATTCTTTCCTGTCTGCTGTCTAAGGTGTCTCCTCCTAGCCACTTCTCTTTATATGAGCGTTTGTCATTAGGGTTTAGGGCTTGTGCTTAGGGTTTAGGGTTTAGGGTTTGCGTTGTCCCGGAGTTACCATTCATGGCAGAAAAGAAGAAAAAAAAGCAAAAAAGTTTTTTTATTATTCCTTTATTTTATTATTATTATATTTATTTACTATATTATTATTTATTTATTATATTATTATTTATTTATGATATTATTGTTATATTATTTATTTATTATTATATTATTTCTTTATAATAAATAAATAAAAAAAAAGACAAAAATAAATAAATAATTTCCTCTTACAATACCTACTAAGGAGGATTGTACCATCTATTTGTTATTTATTTATTTATTTATTTATTTATAAATATATTTATTTATTTATTTATAAATAAATAAATATATATATTTATAAATAAATAAATAAATATTTACTTTTTTTTTATTTTTACATTACTTAGTGTAGTTACATTGGATATATTACTATTAATTACTATTATAAACCCTAAACCCTAAACCCTAAACACTAAACTCTAAACCCTAAACACTAAACCCTAATCTCTAAACCCTAAACCGTGTATTTGTGTGTGTTTGCCTGTATTAGACCTTCTGTTTATTAATAATAAATAATAAATAATAAATAATAAATTAATTAATAGGTACTAATTAATAAATAATAATAAATAATAAATAAATAATAAATAATAAATTAATAATTATTATTTATAAGGAATTAAATAATTAAGCAATGCAATAAAATACGCAAAAAAGCCAAAGAAAGTTTTTATGTCTTTTTTTTTATTTATTTATATATAAATAAATATATAAATATATAAATATAAATATATATTTATATTTATATTTATTTATTTTTTTTATATATAAATATATATAATGTTATTAATACACCACAAGACAACAGCAGCGCCTGTGGCTAAATTATCCATGCATACACCGTAATAATAAATAATAAATAATAATAATAAATAATAATAAATAATAATAATAATAATAATTATTATTATTATTGTTATTATTATTATTATTATTTTATTCTTAATTAGTAATAATAATAATAATTATTATTACTATTATTATTATTATTATATACAACAACTATTTATTATATAGAGAACATTAACAAGTAATAAGAAAGTACTGTACATGTTTTATTATTATTATTATTATTATTTATTATTTATTATATTTATTATTATTATTATTATTATTTATTATTTATTATTTATTATTTATTATATTTATTATTATTATAATTTATACATTAAATCCTTCATTTCTTAGACATTGTTTATGTGCCTCTATAAAAGGTTTACATTTATTTTCTCCATTAAATAAAATACATTCATCTCTTGCTTTTTTTGTTTCTTTGCATACACAACATATTCCTTTTCCTTCTGCATTACGTATTATATTATCCTTTTCTCCTCCTCCTCCTTCTCCTCCTTTCTTATTAGAGGAAAATGGACAAGAAGATGATGATGATGATGAATCAGCACAAGAAGAAGAAGAAGAAAGAGGACAAGAAGAAGGAGAAGGAGAGGAAGAAGGAGAGGAAGAAGGAGAAGAAGAAGGAGAACGGGCAGAGGATGCTGAGCTTCCCATTGTAACTGTACGAATTATGCGAATATAAGTGAATTGTTTGTGCTAATTTGTAGATTTAATAAATAAAAGAAATAAAATTAATAAATTAAAGGAATTTTTATTTAATAATTCCCTTAAAAGAGAGGCAATAGACACACTATTGGCGGCAGCGGTGCTGTTGTTGTTGCTGTATTGTTGTATTGGTGTTGTTGTGTAGGGAGGAAGCAAAGGAAGAAAGCAAAGGAAAAAGAAAAGAAAAAGAAAAACCTTTTGAACAAAACGACTAAAATAAACAAAATAAAATAAACAAATCAATAAAATATTCTTTTCATGATTTTTTTCTTTAGCTTTCTTCTTCCTTTTTGCACAACTACAATAACATGAATACAATACTGCGGTGTCTGTGTGTACACTTTCCTAACAACAAAACAGCAAAAAAGACGGAAAAAGGAATTAAATAAGAAAAAATAATTCCTTTCTTCTCTTTTATTTCAATCAAATCAATTATTTTCTTCTTTTTCCTCCTTTTTACACCCAATACTTTCTTCAACAATATATATATAAAGACGGGGGCCCCCCCGTGGTATTCTTGCAAAAAGCCATTATTCATAGGGGCCCCTGTGTAGGTCAAGAAAAAGATGCATGCATGCGGAGGTTATTTAAATTGTATTTTCTTTCTTTTTTATTTAATTAGTTGTATTTTTATGTTTTTCTTCCTTTTTTAACAATAACGAAGACAATTGGCAAGAGGAAACAGAGGAAAGCTCTAATTTCTCTCCTTCGATTTCAACTTGACGAGGGTTTAGGGTTTAGGGTTTAGGGTTTAGATATACGATTTTTTTCCTATTTTAACACTTTTATCCTTTTTTTAACTCATTTTCTTTGTTTTATTTATATTTGATGGCTCTTTTCCTCCTCCATTCATATACTCCAATAAGGATCTTTTGTCATTTCCTTTAACCCCCACAGTACAATCGCTGGTGTACCAGTAGGGGCACCATATGAAAGGCACAGCCCCTTCTAAGGCAAAGGGCCCCCATAAGAGGCCCCTTGGGGGCTCCTCTAAGGGGGGGCCCCATGGGGGGCCCCCCAAGGGTCCCCAAAAGGACAGGGGAGGGAATAACAAGGGAAAGAAGAAGAGGCAATGGATACAACCTAAGGATAAAACATATGCAAGAAAACAATTCTTAAAGGTAAGAGATGCAAAGGCAAGAAGTGAATTTTTTAGGTTACAGAAAAAAGAAGCAGCAGCAGCAGCAGCAGCAGGAGAAGCAGGAGCAGGAGCAGGAGCAGCAGCAGCAGCAGGAGGGAAGCAGCAGCAAGCAGCAGCAGTTCCTATTGCATCAGCTAGCGATAATGATGCATTTTTAGATCAATTAATGAATCCTTTTAGTAATAAAGAGAAGAAAAAAGAAGAAAAAATAAATAATATAAATAAAAAAGAAGAAAAAATAAAAAAAAGAAAAATAAATACAATTAATAATTCATCTTCCTCTAATAATAAGAAAAGAAATATAAATAAGGAAAAAGAAGAAGAGGAGGAAGAAGATGATTCTTATGATGAGGAAGAAGAAGAAGAGGAAGAAGAAGAGGACGAAGAAGAAGAAGAGGAAGAAGAAGAAGAGGAAGAAGAGGAGGAAGAAGAGGAAGAAGAAGAGGAAGAAGAAGAGGAGGAAAAAGAGGAAGAAAAAGATAAAAAAGAAGAGGAAGGAAAGGAATCATTAAATAAAAAAAAAGGATATATTCCTTTTATAAAGGCACAAAAGATATATGAAGCAAAACAAAGAGAGAAAGAAGAAGAAAGAATAAAAAGAATAAAAGAAAAGGAAGAAGAAATAAGAAGAAAAAAAGAAAAAAAACAATTAAATAAATTTGCATGCAAAAAGTTACAAGCAAGAACAAGAAAAGGACAATTAATTATGGGTAATGTTCTTGATGTTCTTTTATTAAAAATGCAAAAAAATAATAGTAAATAAATAAATAAATAAATAAAGTAAATAAATTAATAAATATTTGAATTCTCCCCTATATCTTGAGGTGTATGTACACCCCATGAGGTGTATATACACCTCAGCAATAAAAGGGTTTTTTATTTAATAACATTTTTATATACATAAATAAGTGTATAATTATTTTCTGTTTATTGTTATAGTAAATAATAAAAAAGTAAATAAAAAAATAAAATAAATAAATATAAATAAATAGGAAAATAGGTATAAATAAACAAATAAAGAAATAAACAAATAGACACTTATTTCTTCCCCCTCTTTATGTATATTTGCATAGCACACTCTAATGTATACCTAGAAAAATACACAAATTATACAATCTATATATTTATTTATTTATATTTATTTATTTATTTATATTTATTTATTTATTATTATATGCCTAATAGTGTTGTATATGTAGTTAATACAACGACACGTCTTCCTTGCCATTAAAGGAACAAACAATAAATATTTTTTAATTAATTAATTAATTAATTAAGTAGAATAAATAAATAAATAAATAAAGAATTTAATTAAATTTAATAAGGAAAAAGAGAGCAAAAGGAGAATAAATTGCCTCTTCCTTCCTTGTGTGTGGGGTATAACATATACACAAAAAAAAGAAAACAAATAAAAAAAAAAATAAAAAAAATATTTTTATTAAGAGAAAAAGCAAGAAAATTAATTAAATAAATAGTGCATGCAAGTTATAAAAGTAAATAAATTATTAAATAGAATATATAAATTCTTTTCTTTCTTTTCTCTTCTCCCTTATAGGGTATAACATAATAAATAGACTAAATAGACTAATTAAATTAATTAAGGCAGTAAGGAAGTTAATATAAAAAGAGTTATTTTTTCTTTTCCTTTTTTATATCTATAAAGTAATTATAAAAAATAAAATACAAAAAAAAAATATACGTATATAACTATACAGACTGTATGTTTATTCTTTTTTCCTTACAGTACATAGATATACATATAGATATATACCTATATAAATATGTATATAAATTTACATATATAATAATATAATAATATAAAGAATAGAAGGGTAAATAAGGATAAAAAGAATAAATAAATAAATTCTCTTAATAGGATTTAATTACTAAAGGAGAAAAGAGGGAGAAAGTCAGCTCCCGTGGCTCAGTTGGTTAGAGCATTGGTCTTATGAACCGAAGGTCAGGGGTTCGAGCCCCCTCGGGAGCACGTTTAAATTATTTAAATTATTTATATTTATATTTTTCTCCTTTTTTATTCTTATTTTTATTTCTTATAATAAGAGATAATGTGTGTAACATTCTTCAGCTGTACGTACACCTCACACCATCGAGGAGCTCCAGGTGATAAATGTATTAAGTGTGTTAGTCCAGGCATAAAAAACCATTTCCTTGCCGTAACAGAGGCTCTCTATTGGGGTGTATAGTCGTTAAAATAATTAAATAAACGTTAAAATATGAATTATGATTGTTAAAGGAGAGAAAGTGCAAAAAGGGAACACACCCGCTACACTAGTGTTTAGGCAAGGTAAACGAACTGCCAACACCTAATCGACTAAAATGAGACATTCACAATATAGTATATATTATTTTTATTATTATTATTATTTTTATTATTATTATTATTTTTATTTAAATAAATAGAGGGAAGCCATTGTTTCAAGCACATTAACTTCAATTATGTTAAAAAATTACTTCTTTAGATCATGAGCTGTACATACACCGCAAAAAATTCAAATTCAGGTAACATCGATAAACACCACCACTTAGTCTGCTTGATCTTCCTGTCTATTGGAGCTGATTTTTAATTTTTCTGCATTTTACGCTTTAAAAATATATATTTTAATTTATTTTCGTAATTTTAGCGAGAAAAAGGAGAAAAATCCAAGGAAAAGTTTGCCTATTGCCAGAAGGCGAAGTAAGCCAGCCCCGCCATGATTCTTGCATGTTGCGTGGGGCCCCGGGTTCAAGCTGCTGGTGATTATTGTATATTTTTGTTGAAATAAATAGAATAAATGGAAAAATATATAATTGGATGAGGAAAATTGTAGAAAATGTCATTAAAAAGGCCAATTGGCCTGTCATTAACTCCTGAGGAGTTCAAGTCTGCAGTACGTGGGTTACTGATTACCTGCCGTTCTTGTACAAAGCCGAAGGAATTATTGGCGAATTTTGAGGAATTATTTCGTTTATTATGCAATAAGAAGATTGAATTAGAAGTACCATTTGATCCACATAAGGCATCTTTTCTTATTTTTCCCCAAGGAGAAAGCAAGGAACAAGAACAAGAACAAGAACATGAACAAGAACAAGAAGAAAAGGAAGAAGAAGAACAAGAAGAAGAAGAAGAAGAAAAAGGATATGAAGAATGGTTACATGAAGCTTTTTCTGTATTTGTTTCTCTTGTATTTAATTTAATAGAAACAAAAGAAGTATATCTACAAAGAATAGGTATATCTTATTTATTTCGTATACTTAGGCATGAGACAAAAGTACATAAATCTTTTTTATTCCCTTTATCTGTATATCAGGTATTTATTAATAGATTATTGCATGCAGATTTATTTTCTTCTTATTTACAGCCCCTATTAATACAAGAATATATAAATAAATACCTAGATATACGTTATTATCTTCTTGTTGTTATATTAAAAATATTAAGGGAATTCGTAGCAAAAAAAGAAAAAGAAAAAGACACGAAGCAGCAACTGCAGCAACTAGCAGCAGCAACAGCAGCAGCAGGACAATCAGAAGAATCATTATCTGCTGTTGCTGCACCTGCACCTGCACCTGCACCTGCAGCAGCAGCAGCAGCAGCAGCAGCAGCAGCAGATAATAGTTGGTATGTATGGAGGAGAGGAGAGGAAGAATTAAGCAAAAGATTATCTTCTTTATTGCTGCAATTATCCAACATAATAGCAAAAGAAAAGCCCAATAAAAAAAGAAAAAAAAGCAGCAGCAGCAGCAGCAGCAGCAGCAGCAGTTCTGCTGCAGCAGCAGCAGGAGATGATGAAAATAGTACAAATGATGAGGAAGAAGAGGAGATGATGATAGATAAAGAAGGAGAAGAACAAGAGGAGGAGGAGGAGGAGGGGGAGGAGGAGGAGGGAGAGGAGGAAGAAAAAAAGAATAAAAAAAAAACATATATAGAGAATATAAATAGTAATAAAGTATTAGATATAAGAAATCATCGTTATACACTGCAGCAATGTTGGTTGCTGCTGCTGCTGCATATACACCACAGCAGCAAGACACTGCAACAATTAATGCATGCATTACCTAATAAAGTATTATTATTAATAAATAATCCTCTATTATTAACTAATTTCTTCCTTCTTCCTTTTATTCATCAATATAATTTTTCCCTAAGAATTTCTTCCTTATCTGGTCTTTTTTATCTATTAACTAAGCATAAGTTAGGGGATCCTGATTTCCTTATTAACAGCAGCAGCAGCAGCAGCAGCAGCAGCAGTAGCAGCAGTAGGAGTGGTGATGCAGCAGCAGCAGGAGCAGCAGCAGGAGCAGCAGCAGAAAAAGAGGTAAGAGGACATATATATAACGAATTATATAGATTAATAAGTCCTGCATGTATATGTACATATAATATACGTATACGTATACGTTTTTTACGTTTATTGTATATATGTTTACGTAGTGATTTATTACCTATTTATTTAATTATTTATTTTATTAAGAAATGTATACGTATTGCATGCATTATTCCTGCTGCTGCTGCTATACAATTTATTACTCTTGCTGCTGCACTTATACAATACTATGGGGCTGCATGCAATAATATTATTTATTTACCTCCTTCTCTTGCTGCTCTTATTCATATTAACGGGGATAAATTCAATTATTCTTATACACATCTAAGAAAAAAAAGAAAAATTGATGCAGCAGCTACTGCTGCTGCTGCTGCTGCTGCTGCTGCACAAGCAACAGCAGCAGCAGAAGTAGAGGGGGGAGAAGAAAGAGAGGGAGCAACAACAACAGCAGCAGCAGCAGGAGATACTCCAGTAGATACTCCTACTGCTGCTGCTGCTGCTGCTGCTGCTGGTGATGGTGATGGTACTGGTACTAATGCAGATACTGCTGCTGCTGCTGCTGCTGCTGCTGCTGCAGTAGCAGCAGCAGCAGTAGATGATGATATGTTATCATGTTCGTCATCATCAGGAGAAGAAGAAGAAGAAGAAGAAGAAGAAAGAAGAAGAAATAAATTAATAAATAAAGAAGATAAATTAATGGGGCTTTTATATGCATGCATACCTAATAAACATAAAGAAGAAAAAAAAGAAAAAAAAAGTATTCCTTTATTAATAAAAGAAGCAAAGAAATCTTTATGGGAAATTTCTTTATTAAATAAACATTCATTAAATAATATACAATTAATTAATCATTTATTTATTTCTTCTTCTTCCTCTTCTTCTTCTGCTGCTGCTGCTGCTGCTGCTGCTGCTGCAGGGGGGAGATATACAACAAAAAAAATTAATATTGATGATTTTCTTCCTATTACTACTGGTACCTTATTAGCTAGGGAAATTAAATATATAAATAAATCCTCTCCTTCTTCTTCTTCTTTATTTATTAATAATAATAATATAAATATAAATAATAATATAAATAATAATATAAATAATAATATAAATAATGATGTACAACTTCTGCATGCAGCAGCTATGAATATTTCTTCTCTTTATTCTTCTTTATAATTATTTATTTATTTATTTATTTATTTATTTATTTTTTATTCTTTTTTTTTATTCTTTTTTTTTTCTTTATTATTTATAATTATAATTATTATTATAATTATATTTTATTTCTTTTCTTTCTTCTTTCTTCTTTCTTCTTTTTTTCTTCTTTTCTTTCTTTTCTCTCTTTCTTATTCCGTCTATTCAACTATTCAACTCTTTATTATCTTAATTATTACTTTTATTTTATTTTTGCTGCTCTTGCTGCTCTTGCTGCTGCTGCTGCTGCTGCTGCTGTTAGTGTTGCTATCAGTAACAAAACAATTGGAGAAAGTCTGCTGCTGCTGCTGCTGCTGCTGCTGCTGCTGCTGCTGCTGCTGTTTTTCTTAGTTGGTATACATACACCCCAAGCTAGCTAATCAAGGGTAGGGAAAAGGAAACAAATAAGTAAATAAACAGACAAATAAATAAATAAATAAATAAAAAAATAAATAAATAAATGAATAAATAAATAAATAAATAAATAATAAATATAAACTGTACAATGAGTTTAAATATTATCTTTTGTTTATTGCTGCTGCAGCAGCAGGCGAAGATGACCAATGGTCATACAACTGCATGCATGCATGCAATAAATAAACAAAGACACTAAAAACAACAGCAGATATATGCCTTGCTGCTGCTAACATATGTTGCTGCTGCTGCTCTTGCTGCTGCAGCTATTGCTGTTTGCTGTTTGCTGCAGTTGCTGCAGCAGCTCTTGCTGCTGCAGCAAATAATTGTTTCTTACACTATTCATATATATTAGCATACAAATCCTCTGCCATTGCTGCTGCTGCTCCTCCTCCCCTCCTCCTCCTCCTCTTCCTCCTCTTCCTCCTCTTCCTCCTCCCCCTGCTGCTGCTGCTGCTGCTGCTGCTGCTGCTGCTGCTGCTGCTATTTACCATCTAAATATCTTTGTGCAAATTCATCAGTAATATTGAATCCATCTTCGATCGTTCGTTTGCCAAAACGACTCGATAGGGGAGCCCAACTCCATCGAGGTATAAAACGTAATGGGTCTCCTCCTCCTCCTCCTGCTGCTGCTGCTGCTCCTTCTGCTGCTCCTGCTGCTCCTGCTGCTCCTGCTGCTGCTGTTGATGATTGTTTATCTCCTGCTGCTCCTGATGATGGTAATACACCTCCTATACATGGTCTAACATATACACGTGCGGTGATTTGTTTAGGTTCGTTCTCCTTATTATTATTATTATTATTATTATTGCTGCTGCTGCTGCTGCTGCTGCTGGTGGTGTTGCTGCTGCTGCTGGTATCAATAGCTTCTGCAGCAAGACATAAGGACCTTGGTCCCTCTAGATAATTTCTTTGTATAGGGAAGATATCTGTTCCTGTTAATGATAGACCCCAATACCCATCATAAGTAAATATTCTTCCTGTAGTATTATTATGTGCTGCAGCAGCAGCAGCAGCAGCAGCAGCAGCAGCATCTGTATCACCTGCTGCTGCAGCTGCATCAGCAGCAGCAGCAGCAGCAGCATCAGCAGCAGCAGCAGCAAAAGGAATAGAAGGAGGAATAAGAATAGGAGGAGAAAAGAATAAAAAAATAAATAAATATTTATGTATATAACTTTATGAATATTTATTCTTTCCCCCCCCTTTTCTCCCCTAAATAGCTCAAAATAAATAGAAAAAAATAAATAAATAAATAAATAAATAAATAATAAAATAAATAAATAAATATATATTTACCTGTATCTTGATGCTGTATATGTCTATAATAATGATCAAGAAGTAATTTTCTCTCAAAAGAAGATTTAAATTTATAAATAAACCAAGAAAAAGAAGAACAATTTAATAAATTATATCTTAATTTTATTCTTTTTTTTATTTCTCCTTCTTTGTGTTTACGTACTTCTTTATGATATAAATAAAATAATACATAATATTCATCTAACCATACTTTTGCTGCTCTCTTCTGATTCTTCTGTACCTGTATATATATACATATATACATATATCATTTGTATACATATATA